ATCAAAGTTAGCAGGTGACCTTCGCTTTGTTAAAGACAAGATCTCTCCTCCTTTTAGTCTTTTCTGACAATTAAACCTCCGAGCTTTACTTCCTCCCCCAATGAAGAAATAACAATCAGTAACAGAAACTGAAGATGGAGGCTGACAGCCTAAAGTGACCGAGTCTGTCTCTGCGATCACCAGTGGGTTCACTGCCAGTGTAGGTGGAAAAAGGTCTGAAAACATGAACAAATAAAGAGCAGAAAGTGTAAAATATAAGTGAGGAATATTCATTATATCTGTAAACATGTTTTAAGAATCTTTATTACTGTTTATGGAGATGATGGTTGATTCACTGTCTGATGATCTAACATCTAAAGCTCCATCTTTTACACTGTAGAAACATTTAACTTTGACCTCAGCTGGTAATATTTTCTCAATCATCCTCAGCAGTTCAGATCCTGTCATTGCTTCCACACAGGAGGAGGCTGCAGACATCTTTTTGTTTTCAATGTAGAAAACACACTGATCAACATTAACATGTGAAGTTGTACACTTTAATGTCACTGAGTCAGTCTCTTTGATCAGAAGTCGATCCACCTCTAGTTTAGGTTGAGGAAGAGCTGAAAGTTTAGAGGATTTATGTGTCAGATTTTATTTAGAAATAAAACTGTATTTACCAAACAGACATTTACCGGAAACTGACCTTTAGCTCTGGCTTCATAAGACAAATCTGTTAAAGAGATGTTTGAAAGAAAATGTAGATGCAACATTTGTATCTTGTATAAATGCATAGCTATTATTATATCAATTTCTAAAACATAAAAATATTCTAAGACATTATACAACAGAAGGAATTTTAAATAACCCAATGTCAAGAATAAGACACTTAACACTAGAATTACCAGGGTTTTCGACCTCCCCCTGAAGTCCCGAAAGAGGGTCAAAAGAGCCTAAATCCAAACTGACGACTCTGATGGCTCAAATTAGCATCCCTTTTTCAATTGTAAATATGGCCATTGCCTGAGGAGAGCCAAACTCACAAAAGCATTCCACACCTGTACCGTCAGGCCAGAAGGTAGGAGTGTGAATAATGTTGGGGGTGGGTGTGATCTATGCTGGAGGCAGCGCTACAGTAGAAACCTAACCAAATTAATTGTGTTGATCCACCTCAAAAAAATCATGCAAAAAGTGTAAGCAAAAGAGATCTGTACGGAAGAGGATTAATGATATGTATTGCATGATGTAACTCAAAAAAAAAAAAAAACTGTAAAAAAAAAATGCTGATGCAAACTGCATCATTTTAGTACTCTGATATTTGAGCTTCTAATCTAAATTCAGGGTTAAGGAGCTAAATGTGTTTTTGAAGAGTCGCCTACTGACCATTTTCAGCAACCAGACTGAATTGTGGATGATGGTTAAAATACCCAATAATGTTCTTCTAACCTCTTTTTATTTTTTAAACAGTTATGTAAAAAGTAGAGAAAAAGACACACAACTGTTTGGAACTATTTTAGGACAAGTTTTGATTTATGAAAAACAGGGTTTTATTTTAACTGAAATACAAGCATTTAAAATTCAGGTAAAAAAAAAAAAACCTTTTGTGAAACCAGTTGTATTTGCTGGGCTCAGTCAATCACTGTATTTGCTCAATAAACCAATATTAGAGTCACGTGAATAATAACAAATCAGTTTGATCATATTATCACATTGTATCACTAAACAAGTTAATTGTTTCTGAAAACACTGCTCACTGCATAACAGCATAACATCTGGATGCAGAGACAACAAGAGTCATATAAACTGGGGACACAATTACTGTTCATGGCAGGTTTGCTTTCACTTAAACAGAGATAGTCTTACAGTCTAAGCACTTTTTTGCTCTGCCTCCCGCTGGCAATAAATGAACAGCTAAGTGCTGCTAAGTATAAGTCTACTAACAAAGTTGTTTCCCAGTATATTAACTGTGGCTGAAGTATTCACCTTACCAGAGGAAGTAGAATGAAAGTACAAACTAAATAAGGGGTGTTAACCACTGTACGTCTATCTAACAAATAAAAATATACTTGCATTTCAAGTTCAGTTGAAGTTTTATGTAAAGTTTGACTGACCTGTTGTTCCATCTATTGCAGGTTTCACTGAAGCTGGGGAAGGACTAAATGTATTGTCTGCCTCCATGATCATGTCAAGTGTTTAAGCTGATGTAATAAATAAAGTCAGATATGCGCAATAATGGTAAGGACTGGTGTAAGGAAAAAAAAAAACTACCATCAGTACTAGTACTGAAATTTGAAACTTGAATCTATTTCTTCAATATCAGCAACAACAGAAAATTCCTTTATCATCCATTTCGTGAATAAATATATATTTGATATTACAAATGTTTCTGATTTGGAAACACATGAAAATTATAGTGAATCTATAAGATTTAAACAGGGTTACAAATTATTTACCTCAACATTTCTATTTCATCCTTGGGTACAATATACATATGCCTAAATGTGACAAATTTATTTATCTAAAAAATCCTACAGAAACAGCATGAGGATGGTCAACCATTAGTGTTTATGAAGGAGGACAGATCAGTGTGTTTAGTGGCAACTGTTGGAGTCCAACCCAGAACCAAAGTTGCTGGTTTAAGCTTTTAAACTGTTTTTTATAAATAAAAACAAGTACTGTACCAACACTTGCTGAAAACCACTAAGCATAGAAGAAGAATATACTTAGAAATTAACATAAGAATAAATATATCAGTTTGCGAATGGAATCAGGAACAAAAATATTGTTTTCTGCTAAAATGAATGATGGACTCTACAAATAGTTGGCTTAATGGGGAAATAAAACAGTGTGGACATTTTGAGGCAAAATCACAAGATAAAGTAGTAAACAAAAAGTTAATGATGACAAAAGGGTCTTCCAATGCATGACGACCCAAAATAAACTGTCAAATTATTTACAAAATGGATCAAAATTAAATGCACGGATTAGTCATCACAACACTCTGATCTTTGTTTTATACATAGTTAGGCTAATAGGATGTGTGAGCTACGTACCCTGGGAAAGGCCTAAAGTACAGTTAACTATAGTGAGAAGTTTGTAGTGGAAATGGATAAGATTTGGTTAAGTTAAATTCTATTAAAACGTTCAGTTTTCAATATTCTGGTAATTTCTTACAGTAGTTGTGACACAAAAGCAAAAATAAACAAACCTGTAAGGAGGGACTTGCCCAAAACTGGAACAACTGCAAGTGCAGTAAAAAAAAAAATTCCCTCTGATGCATATTTTTGAATAGTTTTCTCTAAAACTTGTCTAAAAACGAAACAAAACATTTTTTTTCTGGTATTATGAATCATAACAGTTTTTTTTTGTTATTAGAAATAACATTTTAAGTCTGAAAACCTGGAGGTCATTTTATTGGTAAAATCTGTAAAGAGATATATAACAACAGAGAATATGTGAAGGCCACTGTCAGAAGAGTGATGGTTCCCTAACAAGGTTGTTTCTCATTATATTAACGTTTGTTAAAGTCTTTACCTTACCAGAACCAAAGAATGATGTTTAGGGCATTAAAATGGTTAATGAGATTATCTGGTGAGGTAGAAACTAAACCAGGAATGTTAACTGTTATTTTTCTACTCGCATCTGAGGCAAATCATTTTCAAGGGTCTTGTTTACGTGCAGGTGCTTATGCTAACTCTGACCCATCCGAAAAGATGCTAACATTTTGGAGAGAGGGGTATATTGGCAACACAAATGCTGACTGACAGGAACCAAAGCCATGAATTCTTTTCTTAGACGTTTAATTTCCCTTCACAGGAAATTGATAAATGCTGTGATATTTCTTGTCACAGATGGTAAAAAAAAAAAGCCTGATTAAATTCTAAATCAAAGTTCGCACACATTTAAACCCCCTCCATCAGACTCGCGCTGTCTTGCTGAAGACAGCGTCGAAGCACGATTCAATAAATATGGGTAATTTAGCCATTACAGACAGTTTGAATATGGGAGGATTATGAGCAAACACATTTTTTAGCGACTGACAATAGTTCCTGAGCAAGGATTTTCCAGCTTTTTCTTTTTTTCCTTTTGAGTGTCATTACACTGTCACAAGTACGAAGACTAGGTTTTAGCTTATCAGACTCCATAGCGAATTAACTAACATTTTTAATATGGCCAAAAAATGGATGAGGCTTTGTGCCACAGTCAGTTTATTAATTAACCAAAATAATTGACAAAATATTAGGAAACATCTAAATAAAATATGCTGCAGCGTAATCGAGAAGTCTTTTTTTGTAAAATCTGTAAAAATCAAAGGATAAAAAATCTATTTCTGTCACAATTTAGTATCAAAAAATAAAACCAAAAAGTATTAGTCTGCTAACAATATTGTTTAAAAAAAAAAAAAAAGTCTACACCTTGCTAGAGCCAAAAAACAATTTAAAAGGCATAAAAAGGATTGATTAGATTACCCATTTAATTACAAAACTTAAGCCAAGGCTGTTGATTGCTGTATCTCTGATAAATTAAAATATACTTGCATTTTAAGTTCAGTCGAAGTTTATTTTAAAGTTTAGACTGACCTGTTGTTCCATCTGTTGCTGGGGAAGGAGTAAATAACCTGTCTCTCTCCTTGATTTTTGTGTCAGATGTTTGACCTGATGAATGAAAGCAACAAACACTAAATAAAAATCATATATATGCAACAAGTGTCAGGACTGATAGAAAAATTATACTACCAGCAGTCAGACTGAAAGTTGAGACTCCCTGACTTGTTGTTGAATCTAATTCTTTAACTTCTGCAAAAACAGACAGTGCTTTCAGATCTCCTTGTGATGAAGAAAAACATTTGACACAAACATTTATCTGTCAGAATGTCATAATATAAAACCTTATAAAGCTGAAATAACGTTTATTTTATAGACTAATATTGTATCTTTAGAGATAGTAAACCTTATATGATGGTAGAGTTAATAACCTACTGTTAATCATAACTGATTGTATGTTACTGTCTGGAGAATGATGCTGTCCTCCATCTGTCTTCTTCACAGTGTAATAACATGTTAGTTCAACCTCAGCAGGGGAAGTTTGAAATGTCATCATCAGGAGCTCACGTCCTGACATTGTCTGCTCACAGGAGATGATTCTAGGTATCTTTGATGTTATGAAGTATAAAAAACATTTATCCACAGAAACAGATGATGGAGTCCCACAGTTCAGTGTGACTAAGTCTGTCTCTGTGATGAGCTGTGGATTCACAATTAGCTCAGGTGGAGGAACTGAAAATATAGTAAAAATAACATAAATCAAATGTTTTATTACCACAGTAGTCAGGATTAGACCAGTAAAGGTATATTTACTCACTTTGTATGATGATGGTGAGCATGTTACTGTTTGGAGATTGATGTCCGTCAAGGTAAAAACATGTTACGTGAAAGTTAGCAGGTGACCTTCGCTGTGTTAAAGACAAGATCATTTCTGCTTTTAGTCTCTTCTGACAATTAAACCTCCGAGCTTGACTTCCTCCCCCAATGAAGAAATAACAATCAGTAACAGAAACAGAAGATGGAGGCTGACAGTCTAAAGTGACCGAGTCTGTCTCTATGATCACCAGTGGGTTCACTGTCAGTGTAGGTGGAACAAGGTCTGAAAACATGAACAAATAAAGAGCAAAAAATGTAAAATATAAGTGAGGAATATTCATTATATCTGTAAACATGTTTTAAGAATCTTTATTACTGTTTATGGAGATGATGGTTAATTCACTGTCTGATGATGTAACATTTAAAGCTCCATCTTTTACACTGTAGAAACATTTAACTTTGACCTCAGCTGGTAATATTTTCTCCGTCGTCCTCAACAGTTCAGATCCTGTCATTGTTTCCACACAGGAGGAGGCTGCAGACATCTTTTTGTTTTCAATGTAGAAAACACACTGATCAACATTAACATGTGAGGTTGAACACTTTAATGTGAACGAGTCAGTCTTTGTGATCAGAAGTCGGTCCACCTCTAGTTTAGGTTGAGGAAGAGCTGAAAGTTTAGAGGCATCTATGTGTCAAATTTTATCTGGAAATAAAACTATATTTACCGCACAGACATTAAATGAAACTGACCTTTAGCTCTGGCCTCACAAGACAAATCTGTTAAAGAGATATGTGAAAGAAAATGTAGATGCAACATTTGTAGCTATATAAATACAAAGTATTATTTTAATTTCTAAAACATTTTAAAGAATCTCAGACTTTATATAACACAAGGAATTTAAAATAACCCGATATCAAGAATAAGACACTTCAACTTACTTAAGATAATGACGAACAGCAGCTCTAAAGCCATGATGAAGCTTTGGATGCTCTGAATAGAATACACTGGTATGTTTCTGTTAATTCTGACTTATAACCTATATAAGTTTCAGAAGCTGTTGTTAAAATAATCCACATGATCAGAAGTGGACCCTCCTCCTTGCTATATGAAATACTTGATCGGTTCAATCTGTAACGTTCTGCTCTCTCTGTTTTTTCTCATAGTATCTTAATCTGGTTTATTCCTGTTTGGCTGTGACACCATCTTGGAGAGAAATATCACCTGTGCTGCTTCCATCAACACCTTTGTTTATAGATGTTGAAGCTTGGCCTTTTTTTTCAGCGTAGTCCTGTTTCTCTGACTGGGACTAACTGGATGTTCTCTCTTTCATCCTCTGACATAGGTGCTGGCTCTGTTCACAAAGATTTTAACCACACTGTGTTCACTGTGGTAACCATCACTGCTGTATATCTCCCACCAAGCACTAATACAAAAGAGGCCATGAGTATTCTGTACCAGGCTATCAATCTGCACACACAGACGGCGTTTTCCTCATTGGTGGAGATTTTAGCCAGGCTAATATCAAGACTGTGCTCCCTCATTTTTACCAACATGTGGACTTTGCAACTCAGGGACAGAACGCTCTAGATAATGGTTCTTCTGCAGCGCATCTCCTTTTATTTCCATGGGAATCTCTGAACTCTTCGTCATCATCTGACCTTGTGAATACGTCTTTGCAGAAGTATTACCTTGAGTTTGAGTTTTATTGGAAGGATCCCCATTAGCTACAGCTATACTGCAGCTATTCTTCCTGGGGTCCTGAAAAATATATACATTAAAAACAAAACAAAGAATACAACAAATAAATGAAAGGAAAAGGAAAGAATATACATATATACAATTTATTCATGAAACAAATAGGAGACAGGATACATCATTCTCAGTTTAACAACTAGCCTCACTGCCCTGCTCTGCTCTGCTGAACAGCATAGAAGCAAGGAGGCTCTGCCTTTATTGCTTCATATACATGTAGCCTTTCGCTACACAAAGTAGTGCCAAAACAAAAATGTAATAGTGGCAAGCATCGTCTTATGATAATGCAGCAACTTATTATAATGTTGTGAGAGTTTACCAGGAGATTATGAATATATTAAATAACTAGTACTGGAAGTTATAGTTAATCAATAGGTCATTCAAATAAAGGGTAAAACTAGTTATTTATTATCAGTTGAATGATTATAACTGTAATTTGCTTACCCTTAAGTCTGAGGGATGTTCGAAGTTTAAGGCTTAATGCAAATTTCCTTTATAATAGCAGCAGCTACAATGTGAATAAACCATGATACAGAGATGTTAACTGCAGTCAAAACAGTGAAGTTTTATTCAGTTTATGGTGAAAAATTAATAATGAGTCAGGAATGCATTAAACTATGATGAGGATTGAATGGATTAGCTCAGTTGGTCCCAGAGGTTCTGGTCTGGAAAGGTCCAACTGTCAATCAGTGTGGTGCATGCTGCTCTTTTTTCCTGGTGGTAGGTGTCATTTCTTTCTGCATTTTGCACCATATCTAATTACCCGTAAATTCTCTAATATTGGCCTGTATTCCAATAGCGGCCGGGTGTCTAATAATGGCCGGTCTCGCTGTCAGAGGAGGTAAATAATGGCCGGTCTCTAATACAGGCCGGGGCTATAAACGTTTTTTCTGGGCATACCTCAACATTATACTTGTGGTAGTAACATACAAGAACCACAGCCCTGCGCTGCTGGACGACAGGCCGACTGCTGCCCGTCTGCGCGAGGAAGAGAACAGACACGCAGCAGAACATGAGGAGCAGCGCGAGTGATGAGGAGAATAAACGGAGAGATGAAGAGGAGGAGGAAACTGTGGAGGAGAATTAAACAGAATTGGAGGATTTTTTTTTTTTTTTTTTTACTTCAAACCAAGCGAGACATGGTAACTGTACTTTTTCAATAAATGAACCTAGTGTTTTATAGGTTCAAATAGACACAAAATCTCATTTTTATTCATTCCACTGGTAGTCTGTTTGGCTCAAATAGCAATAGAGGCCTGTCTCTAATACTGGCCTCTATCCAATAAAGGCCTGGACCGCGATGCACTTGAGTGAAATAAAGGCCCGGGCCTATATTAGAGAATTTACGGTATTTATTTTTGCACTGCTCCAAATCTTCCACATCAATGCCTTTTGCACCATGTCTCTCCTATACAGTTTACATTTTGATCACTGCGGCACTTTATAAATGGGAATGTTCATTTTCACTGCTAGGCTGCTGCTCATTCACTGTGGGAAAGCTGTATGTGATGAAATATGGTTTTGTATACACTCTGTGCATTCAAAAATACAATAATGTTTGTCTAAGTATAAGTTGATGTACCTCATAAACACACCATATACAAAATACATTGCAGACCACAGGAACCACCATTTATTTCTTGTGTCAGTAACTTTACTGAGAGTATTTTTACTTAGGATTCTGTTTCATTTCTTTTCTTTTCTGATTCCTATAAAGTGTCCTACACTAGGTTTTTGATCACAGATACAAAAAGGTTAAACAAACATTTAAATAAATGATACATAGTGCAGTTACTATTTGGTATAGCTATAAGATTGTCTCAAGCTATCAATTCAATTCAGTTTATTTATACAGCGCCAATTCACAACACAAGTCAGCTTAAGGCACTTCAAACGCTGAGTGTTGGTTACTAAGTAAACCAAACTGTAGGTATTCCTGTCAATGGTCCAACATATCAACCTCTGCAATCCTCCCACAAATAAAGTACACCAGTTATTTATCAACAAGAAAATGAAGAACCTTTTATATGAACAAAATTACATAAACTTGACTAAAATTCAAAAGACTTATGGAACAATGAAAACAAGTAAAACGTAAAACATAGAAACAAGATCTGAACGTGTATGATATTCTTTCATTTAAAAATAAAAATGAGTAAAAAGAAGAAATTTAACAAGCTGTAGAGGTAAACCGAATAATGGATTCAGAGGTGATTATTTTAAAGCTTCATCAAACTTCATGTTTCAGTCTAAAGGCTGAAGCTTCAAATAGGGACTTTCTTCCAGCAAATCAAGGGAAATAAATTACAAAAAACCAGATTATTACTGTCTAATTTGGTTTAAAAGTAATATGTTCACCTTTGAAACAACCAGGGCACCAATAGTTACTGACTGACAATGTTATTTTGTGGAAGAAGGAAGGACTAGAATTTAAATGCTCAAAATACACCAATAAATGCATATGGAACAATTTTTTGGAATATTAGAAATCATCACATTGGACTTCTCTTTATCTTGTTGTATACTCTATTAAAAAAATAAAAATGTATATCTTGTTTAACATAGCAATTCTAAAATGTGTCCTTTATATAGTTTTGATGAATGAACTTCTGGAGATAGCGAAGAGTAACTTTTTAATCAGTTTAAATCAGTTTGTAATACTTAGTACATTCAGAAAAGGCATTAAATTAGAATTGCAAAGAGATCCTTATAGAGTGTAAAACATAGCAAAGAAAATATTTTTTTATACAGTATAGGTAAATATGGATCTTCTAAATGACTTCACTCAGTCTTTCTGCAGTTCACTTGGCTGAGGCTGACAGTCAGTTGTTTCTCTGTGAAAGCAAAGAGGCATTTATTAAAACCTTTATTCTGTTGTTTCCTGTTGGTATTTTAAACTGATATTGTTCAAATTTCTCATATAGTGCAAACAAAGACTTTTCTTGGTGACAATGAGACTCCTCGAATTTTTCACCAAGTGCTCCCCCTAGTGACCAAGCTACATTGAATGTTAAACTTCCTTCACAAATATTAACAGCTTACCAGTGTTGCAGCTGTAGTTGGCAGCACTGTAGGGTAATCACATCCTGCCTATGAATTATGTAATAAAATGAAGAAGGACAGTTTCAATAGAAAGAGAATATCTACATGATGCATCATTTTAGCAGAAGGTATTTTAACAAACCTCTCTGTTGTTTAAAATAGACATTGGCATTTGTTCACCTGGAAAAAGACCAACAAGAGATATTTTATAAGAAGGCATTAAAAGCACAATATTATTACTGTTGCCTCGTAAAGGTGTAAAAAAATGTTAATGAGCAAAAAGTTATTTTATTTACCTGATATTTCAACTTTTGATCTGAAACAGAAAAAAAAAAATTAAAAATTTTGAAATACAATAGTAGATTGCTGTCACCAGATGATCCAAATTACATCCATGAAATAATCAATTAATATGTTTAGAAAGTGAGAAGTTGAAAAAAAATCTCTAGTTGTGTTCAGATGTGGTGAATCAAATGTAAAAGATTCTCGGAAAATAAATAAAAAGGTGTAAAGATACTGAAATAAGCTACTTAAGTACAGTAACAAAGTATTTATACTTAGTAACTGGACACTACTGGTAAGGGGAGTCTGAAAATCCTAAATTGTGTACATCCTCCAACAGTGGTGTAAAAACTTAAACTAAAAAAAAAAAAGAATGAAAATAGGAAGAAGGCAACAAATCCCATGACTTAATAAGAAGATATCTTACCTATTTGAACATTTCTCTAAAATAAAAAAAAAACACAAACAATTAGGATATTAAAAACAAATTGAAACCTTATTTGGGAAATTCAGCAAATTCGACTTACTCATTTTAAAAAATACTAACTATGTAAATTTACCTTACTGTTAAAAATTAAACAACTGCTCAAACTTTGTGTTATATTTTTTTTCTTACCAATTCTTCTTGTACAAAAACGGAGTGTTAATCCAAATAGGACTAAAGTGATAACTGCAGCTTCTTTGAACCTCAAGA